CAAAACTCGTAACCAGGCAGCCTAACTCGTAACCAAGGAACACAAGATCGTAACCAAGGAAACCAAGATCATAATTTAAGACACCAAACTTGTAACCAAGGAAACCAAACTCATCATCAAGAAAACCAAGATTGTAACCAAGAAAACAAAACTCGTAACCAGGGAAACAAAACTTGTAACCACGGAAACCAAGACTGTAACCAAGGAAACCAAATTCATAACCAGGATGCCTAATTCGTAACCAAGGAAACTAAGATCGCAACCAAGGAAACCAAACTCGTCACCAGGAAGCCAAACTCGTAACCAAGGAAACCAAACTCATAACCACGGAAACCAAAACTGTAACCACGGAAACCAAAACTGTAACCACGGAAACCAAAACTGTAACCACGGAAACCAAACTCGTAACCAGGATGCCTAACTCGTAACCAAGGAAACCGAACTCGTAACCAGGATGCCTAATCTGTAACCAAGGAAAACCAAGATTGTAAACAAGGAAACCAAACTCATAACCAAGAAACCAAAGAAACCAAGCTCATAATTTAGGAAACCAAGTGGCGGGTACTAGCACTAGAAATCAGTTTTTGGCTTTGTTCACACATGACCCTGTCCTGGCAATGTTGTTGGCGCAGCCATCGAGGTAAGTGAAAGAGTTTAGCCGGATAAATACGGAGGACAAAATCAAGCAATGACATGGAGTTAGTCTGGCCTGCACGCACTCACTCAATGGAAGTGAGCTGCTGCCAACTATTGAGATTGCACACCGGTGCGTAACCACACCCACACCCCAAAAGTGGGTCACGGAGTCAATTAAGGACATCCAAGTATTTAACAGGCAAAATGCAGGCAAATTACCAGGTCAGGCTAAAAATGTGAATGGGGCTCAGATAATCCTTTTATACACAGACTTGATACTTGCTTATGCATCAGAGTCCAAGTCCATTTCCTTTTGGGCAACATGAAATTTTAATGGTGTGGTCCATTCTCCATCTGCTCACACTGCTCCTGTCACACATAAGCACCAGAGCTAGGATTATTTCAGACAGGAGACAAAGAGAAATATATGATAGATACATAGTAGAAGTAGAAGTACAAAGTAGTGGGCCAAGAAATTACTTGATTTATAATTATAATGTTAAAATTAATGGAATTTGAAGAACAAAACATTAAATAAAGCACAAAATCTGGTATTCTCAAAGCGTAGACATAAACATTTTGAAAAATACATTATATTTGATGAGCGGTTTGAGAAACACAAATGTCCAAATCATTTCGGTTCCACTGTTTCGGTTGTAAACAGATATAAAACTGTCATTCAAACCACAAATGTATACAAGTCTTTTTCATTTTTATGCAGAAAAACATAACTTAAAAAAAACAAAAATCACATAAACCTTGAGTAAATACGAAAAAATACGAATAGAGTAACACAATACAATAATAATAAATGTACTACTACTATTTAAAATAATTTCATATTGCCTACATAAAGCTTTTGTCACTTGTAGACTAGAATAACATAAAATAAAGTAACCAATACATAAGTACTGAGTAAGAGTACTGTTACTTCAATAAAAATATTAAGCGTAAAGTATGCTGCTAATAAAGTTACTCAAGTAATGTGTAACTCTAACCTCTGATAACACGTATATTGACAGCTGTGGTTATGTTTTCCAGAATTGCCTGCTTGCTTTCATATTGCAGTATTGATTTTACATTTCAAAGCTTTACATATTGTGAGTTATGTAATTCTCAGCGAACATATCAGGACACACTCAGATGCTGCTATTAAATGCTGCAGGATGATAAGAGTGCAAATCAATATCACAATTAATTGCACTATAAATTAAATACTGCATTATTGATCTCAATGTGAAAAAGTGCATCACAACACCCATTATTCTTCAGAAACTGTTTTGATTGGAATGTTAATGATATTTTGGGTTAGTCTCGTCTGAAGTTCTCACCACATGGACATAAGCGGCACCTTTATTTTAATATTACTCAAGTAGTGAGCTAATTATTCAGGTCACTGCTTTGGTCTTCTACTTGAGTCAAATTAAGAGTGTAAAAAAAAGTATTACAGTATAACCAGTGTTGGGAAGGTTACTTTTAAAATGTATTCCCCTACAGATTACAGATTACATACGCCAAAATGTAGTTTGTAACGAAATCCATTAAATAATCTGTAATCTCTAATCCGTAATCTGAATACTTTGGATTACTTGCTTTGCTGTAGAGAAGCAAAGATGAGGATATTGTAACATAAGTCTGCTAAAAGACAATAAAAAAGCCCAGTCTTTACTTAACCATATTAAAAATATTATTGATAGAAGAGAAGGAGGAGACATGGTCCGCACAGTATGGTTTAGTCCTGTTAAATCTTGTTTTAGACCTGGTTTAATCTTGGTTTAGTTCTGGTTTAGTCCTGGTTTAATCCTGGTTTAGTCCTGGGTTTAGTCCTGGTTATCTCCGCCAAGGAGGTGATGTTTTTGCCGGCGTTTGTTTGTTTGTTTGTTTGTCTGTTAGCAACATAACTCAAAAAGTTATGGACCGATTTTGATGAAATGTTCAGGATTTGTTGGAAATGTGAAAAGGAAGAACTGATTTCATTTTGGGGGTGATCCGGAAGAAATCCTGGATTCTGGATCACTTTGAAATTTTTGTTAACATTGTGGTAAATGGGACCAAACAATTTGTTTCTCAATATCTCGGTTAATTATCGACCAAACCCCATGAAATTTGACTCAGGGATGGACAATGGGATCCTCGTTCATATTCCAAAGGCTGATCCAGATCTGATCCAGAAGACTGATTTTATCGCAATTTATATAAAAAATGGGGGTAGTCTCTGAGTGCTTTTCTAGTTTAGACCTGGTTTAGTGATGGTTTAGTCCTGGTTTTAGACCTGGTTTAGACCTGGTTTTAGTCCTGGTTTTAGTCCTGGTTTTAGTCCTGGTTTAGTCCTGGGTTTAGACCTGGTTTAGAACTGGTGTGGACCTGGTTTTAGACATGGGTTTAGACCTGGTTTTAGACCTGGTTTAGACCTGGTTTAGTGTCCGGTAATGAATGGAATTACCGGGAAAAAAAAAGCTAATACCCCGAAATGTGAAAACAGGAAAATACCGCCTTGTAAATCATTTATTTCAACAAAGTAACTGTAATCCAATTACCACTCATTGAAACAGTAACTATAACTGAATACAGTTACTCATAATTTGTACTCTGATTACGTAACTCCGGTACATGTAATCTGTTACTCCCCAACACTGAGTATAACATAGCTGCAATGGCGTCTCTAACTACCACCAGTCCCTCACACATCACCTTGATACTGATATAATTAGGGTGCTTTGTGTGTTATTTTTGTAAACTTTTTAAAAAAAATGTATTATTATACCAACATGCAAAGACAATAGGAAAAAAACGTAGGACATACATGTATACAATCATGACAAAGACAATAACAATACATTACAATTACATTACACATACACATTGTAGTGACTTTTTGTCCAAAAAAAGTAACAAAAAAGAAGCGTGGGCAAACTCAGAACTAAACATAACTCAAATAATCACCTTTGGGCACCATGGGTATGTGGTTTACGCAGTACAAATCAATGTCCATGACTAGAGATGATTTTCCAAGATTTATTTTCCAGTTTTTTGGCAAGCAACAAGGAATACATGTTTAAGGCGACTCCTGCTGCCTCTCCTCCTGACTGGTAAAAAACCATAGGCCCACCCAGGTGCACTCTGGTCCATGTGTACCACCCTCCTTTATCCCCTAGGTGACCCAAATTAAACCAAAAACAAAAAAGAGGTGCTAACGTAAATAATACCAACTTAGACTAAGAAATGAGTAAGAATAATATTAACATAGCAAAAATATATTATACAAATGAACAAAACTAAATTAGTAAACTAACTAAACAAACAAAAATAATAAACAAATTTTAGAATCAACAAAATAAGCAAATAGCTCCTACACACATATTCATACATTCACACCTGTACACACATGAATATAGTTGTGTGTGCATACATACACATACACATACACACACACACACACACACACACACACACACACACACACACACACACACACACACACACACACACACACACACACACACACATACTTGGCAAAAAAGAAATGCAAGTTTTTGTTATTATTGTGGTGATTCAAAATTGCCCCTAACAGTACATGTTGGGCCTATTACTGTATTCAAAGAAGGAACACGATCTCTGGACATTTTTTAGAAAACCACGTCACTTTATAATATACTTTTCTATGTCATACACCAAACTCTACCAAGACTTAGTTCATTAACATTTTGGTAAATACCCCTACACTTGATCTAATCCAGAAACTGCATTCCCATGATACGTATTCAATAACCGCCGCATCACCGAATCACTGTGACTAACCCGATTAGGACAATCCCATTTTACAATCAGATGCTAGCCGCCTTTTTTTTTTTTTTTTTTTTGGCTTGACTTGATGCAGTGAAGAAGGAGACGCTGCCGTGAGGAGGGGGCGTGGGTTGAACCATTTTGGCCGTGTCCGTGGGGGGTTTGCGTGGGTAATTTTCCAATAATATGCAATCTATTCAATCAATTACAAGCAAGCTTTTTTCGAGTTACAGTTTTCAGCTTCAATGTAAGATAGATTTTTTTTTTTTCTTTGCTTGCCTAGACGTACGCGACCCCTTTTGTTGAATAAATGCACTGGTCCTTGCTCCTTCCCCCCTTTCTCTCTCTGCCTCCCTCCTCCCCTTCTCTCTCCTCCTCTGTGGTTCTTTCAGCACTTGCACTCGCCAGGAGCTTTCAATGGACAGAACCACAAAGGCTTAAGGAGAGAGAGAGAGAGAGAGAGAGAGATCCATCCATCGCTTCCACTGGCTTGTCACGAAGCTACGGCGATCCATCTGAGCTACATTTGAGAGGGAATACCCAGAAAGTAGACTACTTCCTGGATTTTAAAATATAAATTTGGTTGTGTAATCGTCTAAGCACAAAATCCACAATGGAAGAAGATCTGGATGAGGGGCAAAGCCAGAAAGGTAATTTTTTTTTTTTCAGTCATAGATTTTTGAAATAATGGGAAATAAATCAACATGCAAAAATGTTAAATTTTCTATTCTGATGTTTGGGTGAACTTGGTTTTACTAAGGCTTAGACCTGCTTGTAATAGCTGCTTGTTGAAATGAACAGAGCAAAACAGAAACACAACAATGGGGGAGATATTAATTAATTATTCATTACATCTATTTAACTACAATGCACTTTTATTGATGATTTTGCATGTTAACATATTTTTAACGTCATGTGGTACATCTAAGAAACTGCTTTCTTATAATGATTTCAGCTAAATTATGATTATTATTAGCTTTTTTTTTTTTCCTTTTTACATTTTTTTGAGACAACACATCAGTTATGTCTTTTTCTGCATAATATTTCAGGTTGTTTGGTCGGAAGATTGTTCACAGCGCATTTGGCAAGCTCCGTGTTGTTTGTATGGGAGCAGCAGCTGTTGTATGGGGTCCCTTTGTCTGACACGAGGGTGTGTTTGGGTTGGGTGTGTGGGGGGGGCCGAGGGGGCTGAGAGCGGAGAGGGGGGTGCACCTTTCCGCAGACGGCCAGACGAGTCTTTGTTCGGATCTGGTGTTGTTGGTCCTGACAGCTGAGAGAGAGCGAGGGACTGTGAAGATGCGGGTGGAAGCGGAGAGGCCATTTTTAAAGGGAAAGACTGGGAGTGGTCTAGTGAGATAAAGTGAGATGAAGTGAGATGTTAAGTAGTGTTGTTGATGGAACAAGACACTACAGGTGAATGTGGAGGATTTGGGTTGCTATACCTTGAAAAACATTTTTGCTGTGGCCTCTACACAGCTTTCCCTGGTGGCCTATCTTAATGCCATACTGTGACACATTCAAGCAGGTGGTCATGAAGAAAAGTTAAAGAGTCTACCATTAACCAAACGCTTTAAACCTACCTGCAGCAATGTTTCAGCTTTGAAAACAATGCAACTTCACAGCTATTCACCCCTTCCCTATTCACCTTTGACTCAATTGCTGGATTTGCTGAAGATGAGCAGGCAGAAGTGTCCTGCTTAACCCTTTCAGACCAACAGTATCATATACGATACCTGGGAATCTGTTTTATATAGTCGTGCACAACTTTCCAATCATAAGATATACAAACTTACTTTTTTCCGGTTCGCAAAAACCCCAGAAGTGCGAGTCCGGGTACTGGCCAATCAGCGAAGAGCCATACATTCAGTGCTGGCAACGATTCCCGAGATCGAGGATTTAAAGCTGGAACAAAGAGAATCTTTAGTGAATTTTATCAAGGGGAAAGACGTTATTGCCCTTCTTCCTACACCTATACCAGTTAGCCCCATTAGCGCCTACCGTCTAGTGAACAAATTCTAATGCTGAGAGGTCAGACAGTTTCTATGAAGTGAAACTGGCTGATGAATCAGGCTAGGGACTTACGGCTTTCCAAGCATATTTCCGACATTATCCTACGTCTCACACACACGCTGCATGAGGACGTAGGGAAAACAAGTGTCCAATAGGAACTTTGTTTTCCACCAAACTTATGCGCTCCATCCATTTTGATAGGCCCAGACTTTGTCAAAGAGCGTAGTGTGTCAAAATGTTCGACTGCTCTGAGCGTCTGTGTTCGTAACAATTGAAAAAGCCATTTTAAGTGCAGTTATTTCTCAAATAAATGTCAAATTATGCATCATGGTCTGTGTAAAAAGGTCATGTCAGTCAGAATGTCCAAATCCAAATGTAATAAACACCATGGAAATGCAGGAAGTGAAGTGGCTCTGTGCCCTGGACCTGACACGAGCTGCTTCCTTGACTGGAACGAGTAAAGTAATGAGGCAATTGCACTTTTTTGTTTTTATTTTGAGGCAGTAAGGATATTTTTAGTTTACTTTCTTAGTTTACTTGATATTTTACACTTTTGTAGCTAAGGGCCTAAATGAAGCAATTTTTATGTCCAAAAAATGTTGATGCATGTTTGCCGTGTGTTTTGTGTAAAAGAGTATGGATTTTATTTTCCGTTTTTTTATTTTTTTTTATTTGTATTTCTGGTCCTATAGCTTTTATTACAGCCATATGACACAACTACAGCATGCAGATTGTGAAATAACAGGTTGTACTGAAAAAAGGATGTATAACAGTTCATTAGGGGGTAAAAGGGGGAGTTTTAAATGCAAAATATAGGAAAAAAAATCCAGGTGAGGACAAACGTATTAAAATTGCTCTTAGGTCCGGAAGGGTTATGGATTGAATGGTTGTATGAATTGCCAGTAGTGAGAATTAAACCAGCAACCTTAAAGATGATGAAGTGAAAGCACTACTAGGTTAGAAATGTGTAGACTTATGTGCTTGTGATGCCATATGAACTCCATCAGTTGCCAGTATTTACCTCTGGAGACAGGGTGGACTTCCTCTGTTTGTGTTAGCCGTAGCCGTGCTAATGCGCAGCCCACATGCACTCACGTCGTTGCCATGGCGCTGGTGAAGTGGAGTCGCTATGTTTTTGGCTCCTCCGTCCTCCGCTGTGGATGACATTTGACTAGAACAGTGTGCCCATGAGAGGGGAGGCCTGCAGTGAAGAAAGCACATAAGATTTCACAGTCATCACCTGCACTGTCTGTGTTAGGGCATCTGCATGCAACACCTACAAAATTATAGTTTATTTTGATTGAAATAGAGAAACACTGATGAACAATAGCATTTTTAGATTGAGTTAAGGTACAGGTTTCAGCAGGGAAATGAGACAATGCCAGAATAAACTGACAGTGGGTGCATTTAAATGGGTGCAACCACTTTACTCTTCCATAAAGATTCATTATTTAACAAGCCTCAAATTCTGCACCCCCTGGCCTAAGCGAGGCCCGACAGTACAGCATTTAGACATGAAGGTCACACACATAAATAGGCTTACAACATATTGCTGTATAGTGGTGTAATCCCCCATTCTTCCAGGAGTGGTCCATGGTAGAAAAGGTTTCAGAAGTTTGGACAAGATTGCTGTTTGATCTGCAAAATCTGCATTTTGTAATAATAGTTCACAAGGCCACAAAGGGCTGTGTGCTATTGGTTCTTTTGAATTTCAATGAAAAACAAAAAAATTATAAAATGGGAAAACAGTTTGTTATTTTATTATTCCATTTTAGTGTCAAACAAAAAAAAAAAGTCGGCCTCTATTTCCAGTATTTAATTTAAAGTTAATTTCAAAAAACACCAATCAAAACAGTGTCGGTGCCTATTTCAATTTTGATATTTTATTCTCTCTGGTTTATTTGTACTGGAAGTTCTGCTCCTAGAAGGACTTAAAATAAAAAATCTTTGCAGCTTTGTGCACAAACATATCCTCTTCTTTTATAGCGACGTATTTACTTTTGCGTCTTAGAAAGTGATAGTTGAACTCCATGACGAGAAACAGGAATATACAGGCTATAAACTTTGTTCATTGGCACCACAGAACTATAATAAAAAAAAGTCTTTATTATAGATCCACAGTTGACACTGAATTCACATGCGGTGCTCTAAGCAGCAGAACTTAAAATATCTAAATTAAAATAGACACTAAGATTGGTGTAATTTGAAACTTTAAATTAAATATTGGAAACAGAGGTTGAAATCTGTGTTTCGTTCTTAATTGAGATTCAAAAGAACGAATGGTACACGGACCTACAACAAATTGTCAATTTATTGTTATTGGCTGGATAACATTACAAACAAGCAGAAGGTGTTTGTGAGGGTCTTTAGGGTCGGTTTGAAAACATATTTTTGCTTAGTTATTAAAGGTCATCACATGCTTGTAATCGAAATGTTGTTTTGATTACAACAACCCGTACATGGAGAATAGAAAGCTTTGGATCCAGCACCTAAAAACTGATATTAAAAAATGTCCCATCGCTTGAAGTCCTCTGAGCAAGTCCTTTGAGCAAAGAAAAAAAATGCGATACAGAGGCTTTGACAGTGAATTATACATTATACAAATATACTCCTTGTATATAAAGAAAATGCTAGAGAATATTGCATTATATCTCCTCTCCACAGCCATTTCTAGGTGTGTACTTTTCTACCCCTTGCACTTAAATAGAGACATGAGACCAGGCCTGGCGCTAACACACATGCTCACCCAACTGAGAGAGGCAGCCATGCAAACTGGGCTCCTCCATTAGAACGCCTCTCATTCACTGCGCCTTCGGACAGGGCCCTCTTTGGTCCTGCTCAAGAAGAAGAAGAAGAAGAAGACGCCTTTCTGTAAACAAAGAAGAGAAGTATAAAGAGAAGGCTTAGATATGTATTTATAGCAGAGTATTTTTAGAGATGATGTCACTGTTTTTGTCACGTGACTTGGTAAATCTGAATATAAAAAGGGGGAGGGCATTAACTGGCTGAGTAAAAGACAAACTAAAATGGCTGCAGAGAATAGGAATGCAATTAGAGATGTCAAAATTATTTGGTTAATTGCGATTAGATAGATTTTTGATGCTTTGAACCATGTTATACTGTTGTTCCTTCATCAAAAATATACCTGGAGATGTTTTAGATGTCATCCATGCATGTCTGACTCATTTTTTGATCTCTCCTGGGCCCTATTCAAACCCTCCTTATGGTTGTAAGCTGTAAGATTCTGTGCCCACAAACCTGTCACCCATGCTCCCACACGACAATTCTCCATAAATGTACAAAAATGTTACACAAAACCGCACACGGCAACTTGACAAACCTGATGCGATGTGCAGTAGTTTCATTCGCAAGATGCAAAGAGAGGGGGGACTGGGAACTTTAAAAATGGAAGTGAAACATACAAAACATGATAATACGTTGTTTTCAGCGGACATGTGATATTCTAAAACAATAAAAGGTAATATGGTGATGTAAATATGTTACGTGTTAGCAGTTAATACCTCACACAGGGCTCCCACTCTTTTTCACTGACAAAATTTCAAAACTGTTCCATGACTTTTCCATGACCTAAAGTGAATTTTCCATGATTTTACAGCACCTACGTATAGAATTTATCAGA